TTTTTTAAGTCAAATTGAGGGCAATGAACAAAATGTGGGAAACTCAAAGGGCTAGTTAGCTGTTAAATCAAGAATTTCTGTTGTGTCAGCTGGTGTCCTCACAAGGATGCAACTACAGCTACGCCAGTGTGTGAGTGTGAATGAAGCTTGAGGTGCAGGGGTGACGCTGCACGGTGGCAGTCTCCTTCTAAAAGTGTGGGCTGTCATCAGGACATGCTGCTTTCTCACAGTGCTGAATGACAGAATACTTCCTGCACAGTATGTACTATATGGCTTACACAGAATGTGTATTTGTGTGAACATCTTCTGTGGGCTGTAGCTTGTAGGGATGCCTGGTTTGTGCATTGAGAAGCTTTATTTTAATGTGCTGAGTCTAACTGTATGTTTAACTGCGTTCAACAACTTAGAAATGGGATTTTAAGATGTGTGTGTTTCTCTTTAGATGTGCTCAGTACCCAGCAGGCAGGCGTCCTGTTAACCAACTGTAATTACGGAGCTCTCGGGGGAGAAAAAGCACTGCAGATAGAAACACAGGGTCATACCGTTGCATACAGAAGAAGCTTATAAACGGGCTTTCTGTATAGCTTATACATGGAAAACTTTCCTTAGCATCCTCACTGTAGCATAACCCCACCCTCTGTCTGTGTGTCTCTGCAGTGGTCAGAACCTAGCTGGTGAGTGAAGATGATTCCTGTGCTGATCTGGGCTTTGATATCACTGAATGTAGCAGAAAATGACTTAGATGCTCTGTACCCTGACCTGGAGCATTCGAGAACAATTTATGTCACAGGTGAGTACATGTTCACTTGTGTTTCTTTGTGAGAGTGACAATGTCATTCCAGCGTCTGTTTCTGTGTCTCGTTTAGAACACTCACTCTGCAGTGTCGTTTCGTCCCTCAGTTTATCAGCATGTTCTCAGTGATAAGACTGCTATGTAGGGACTTTTAGCTAACTTAGACAGAGCTATCCAGTTTGGCTTTTATCAGCAAATTAAAACATTGTATATCTCTAGTTTTTACATAGTAAAAAAAAAAACCAACAACACATAACAGCTATTTTGTTATGCAAGTCACTTCGGAAATGTATTTATTTATCCATTGTTTGGTTTTCCTTGTTTGTGAGATACGAACAAAACCAAAGCCCTTTTCATTTAGGCTGCGTGATTCAGTGAGAACGATGATATAAATCTTTACCAGCATGACTTCCAATTTCCTTTTTTTTCAATATCACTAGCTACTGTATAATATTTTTAGTAAAATAACACATGATAAATTAATCTCTATTAGTTATTGTTTAAAGTAAAGTTTGAAGCAGTTTAGCAGCAGCTGAGTCTTTGGCACTGTTTGGATCTATGCCACAAATATTCTTTGCTGTTTGGTTTGAGACCTTGGAGCAGTTTCGTCCTAACTGGACTCGCATTTTTTAACGTTTTTGCTTCATTTTGGGGGTTTTTTGTTTTTGTTTGTTCATTCATTTATTTACTTTTGTTTTTCTAGTCTAATGTGACCATACATAGAGAAGATGGCAGAAAGCCAGAACCTCAAAGTTTTCAGCAGGCTTGGATATTCAGCTGCATAGCTGCAGCATTCTCAAATTTGTTATAGTCTGATCTCAGTTAGAGACTAAAATGTAATAGAATTTCCCTCTTTAAAACTGGAGGACAAACATTTTAGAGGGTTCATACCCCACAGATCTGTCTTCTTTCACCTGCACAATTGCTAAAACTAGAAACATCTTGTCAGCTGATCCAAAACATTCGACAGGAGTTCTGGTTGGGACTAGAAAGAAAATCATACTTCTAAAATACTTTGTCTGTCTATTAGCTTCTCTTGACTGCCTCGTTGGTAAATATGGAATCGAATTTAGAACCCTTCTTCTCACATATAAAGTCGCTAATAATCAGTCTGCATTCATTTCTTAAAA